AATTTTACTGAGTTACTTTATAATATTTTATTTGATTTGATTTATGTTGGATACTGTTATTATTATTATTATTATTATTATTAGTAGTAGTAGTAGTCGTTTAAAATAGTTTGATAACGACGACTGCTGTTTAGAATGTCGTGACTATTAGATATTTTGCCGTAACTGTTTTAACTCTGATCACCCCCTCCTTACCTTTTACATTAACTTGTTCATCTCTTTAAGGAATTTTTTCTCGGTCATGCTATTTTATTTTTAATTTTGGCTCATCATTTATTTATTTTATCTTTTATTTCTTTTCTTTAAATACATCTCCCCACTCTTTTCCAGCCTCTCACTCTCTTTCTTTCCTTAATTATATATATATATATATATATATATATATATATATATATATATATATATATGAAATTTTTATTTTCTATTCAACCTTTTTCTTTTTACCCTTTTCCCTCTTATTGTATTTGTCAGGACAGATTGATTCCATTTCTTAAGAACTTTCGATCAAAGAGATGAATATTAAAATATTCATGAAATAAATTATAACCAAGATGGATTTTTAAGGTTTTTCTTGATTTATTATAATTATATTGCTCTGTAACTTACATTGAGCTCTCTTTGGACTAATGTCCTCCTTGGAATTATCCCTACCAATTACAAATTGCTATTATATATATATATACATACATATATATATATATTCATGAATTATTCACACAAAAACAAATGCAAAGGTTAATGATTTAATTGGCGAGAAATCCATCGTCGCAAACAATTCAAATAATATACAAAAACCTCCGAACCTGAAAATTTACCAGTAAAAAATTCGCTTATCACCATATTTGTATAAGAACGCACAACTGTAAAAATTTAAAATCAAACTCAGCGTTGCTACTGCACGCTCCAAAAACAATAACTCATTTCCAATAGCATTTTCGGATTACAACAATACATATATTTTCGTTGTCCTCTTATTACTGAGAGAAAAAAACAAGAACAACATCTATTCCATACCTGAAGATGTCTGTAAGAACAGACGAAAGCTTGTAGTAAAAATAAGAATTAATGCAGCAGAAATTTATAGAAACAAGGATCTTTCATTCATAACAGGTTCGGAGGTTTTTGTATATTATTTGAATTGTTTGCGACGATGGATTTCTCGCCAATTAAATCATTAACCTTTGCATTGCTTTTTGTGTGAATAATTCATGAATTTGTAAATTGATTGCACGTTTATCGAAATTAATATATATATATATATATATATATATATATATATATATATGTGTGTGTGTGTGTGTGTGTGTGAAATATAGTTTTAAGGTGAGCTATATTTACGGGACAAAGTGCTCAATATCAGCGATAGAGCACATGTGAATATAAAGTGACCATTGAAGTCAACACTCAGAGGCGACGGGCTGTTTCATTCTCGACTTAATCGTGAGACGGTCTGACGAATTCGTCTAGCATGAAACAGCTTGTCACCTCTGAGTGTTGACTTCAATGGTATATATATATATATATATATATATATATATATATATATATATATATATATATTCACGAGTTCTGATCAGAGAGAATCGGAACTGGTACAATGAAAAGAAAATTACAAAAATAGATCACAGGATGTATTCGTCTTTCATCGGAGCCATTTTACATCCAGGAAGAAAATTGTTATGCCGAGAGCGACACAGTAATTTTAATAAGTAACTTATTTATGAGTAACTATACTCAAATTAGTTTAAATCTTAAACAACACCACGACTGACGCCGGTTTTGTATCTGAAGAGCGAAGAACAAAAGGAAAAAGAAAAAACGTAAAGATAATTGAACTTAGTAAATTCTTTGTCCTTTAATTCAAGAATTGTAACGATTTTTCTTGTTTATTTTCATGGAAATGTTTTTCGTCTCTTCGAGGTCTGATAAAAAAAAGTATTTGTCATGAAAAAAGAAAACTATAAGATATATAAATTAGCCTTTTAAATTCATTGTAAGTCGTCCACTTCTGAAGGTATAAATTTTCTCCGGTGTTTTCGACATTCTTTACTAAACATCTTTTATTTATTGGTCGTTTAAATAAAAAAAAAAAACAATAAAACTATCATTTTATCTTTCGGTCATTGTTAAAATCTTCCAATTAATTGTAATCATTTTAAAACGAAACTAAACATCATTATATAAACATTATTAAATAAGCATTATTAAATAAACATTATTTAAAAAAATAAACATTAGTCGTGAAAAGGTTTTACTTATGTAATTTTTAGAGTAAAAAAGTACAAATTTCAGTTGCTTTAGTTAACACTCAATAACACTGTCTTTTTTGTTAATAACGTCCTTTTCTGTTTTAAAGAAAAGTTAGCGAAAACAAACCAACGAAGGAATTTAGATTGATTGTTTTTATTTAACGGCATATCTCTATGGATTATTTAATGCCAAAATCTAATATGAACACACATTTAAGGCTATAGAGATTGATAGCCATATGTATCATAGGTCATTTTGCTATAAATTAGGATAATATATGGATTGATATCATGTTTGATGGATTTTGTTTTAGGATATATAAACTCTATGGATTATTTAATGCCGAAATCTATTATTTGAATAAACTTTTAAGGCTATACAAATTGATGGTCATATTTATCGTAGGTCATTTTGCTATAAATTAGGATATCATATGGATTGATATCATGTTGGTCGTTTGATGGAAATTTGTTTTAGGATATATAAACTCTATGGATTATTTAATGCCGAAATCTATTATTTGAATAAACTTTTAAGGCTATACAAATTGATGGTCATATTTATCGTAGGTCATTTTGCTATAAATTAGGATATCATATGGATTGATATCATGTTGGTCGTTTGATGGAAATTTGTTTTAGGATATATAAACTCTATGGATTATTTAATGCCGAAATCTATATATTTAGACAACACCTTTAAGGCTATACTTGAGAACGGCCCGGTAGCTATTTTCAAAAGAAGAGTCAGCATATTTGTGGCTGAAAAAAAATTAGCTTGTTACATACAATATCCCGAAAACCAAACTAGTTCCATTTCATCATCATCGATCAGATCCTGAACTAACACCTGTGGCTATGAATGGATGTTCCCTCAACGATACTCCATGCCATGAGCGCCTGATTGGCATTAAACCCAACTCAAACCTCAAGTGGAAATCGTACATGCGATCCATCACTAAAGATGAATGAGAAATCGTAGGTAACGCTCTAGTAGGTAGTTGAAATCTCGTGCTAATTTCTATCTTTGCAAGAGCCAGATCAGGTCTAATTAGGTCAGATCAGGTATCTCCTGCAAAAATTGGGCGCAGGATCTGCCCCGTCCTTAATTTTCAGTTACGATAGTTCAAACATCCTTGTGGGTGACAAATTATTTTATAAGCATCTCGCTGCTCTATGAAATGTGCTCTATACTCTTTAATTTCTCTAGTTTTAACCCGCTAGGACTCGCCATACTATGCACAGAACCACTCTCCTTAAGTGAAAGTAAGTGCCACTCGGTGAGCTTTTTCCCGCGCTTTGTGGAATCGACATTTTTTTTCCCCGATCAATCTTAACCTGTTTAAGTTTAACCCCTGTATTCCCCACATATCCGCATAAACTGTGCCTCTTACTCTGTAAGGCTCTACCTCGAGAGGCCTTGGTGACCTTCGGCATGGTGAATTTTCACAGTTATTTCTACTCTTTCAATAGAGTAACTTGAAATATACTTCAGGCTAATATAATTGCACATAATGCGACATTGACCAGTATAAATAAATCAGGCAGTTTGGCGATCATGTATCTTTCGATACATGACTGGTGAGGCAGATTTTTTTCCCACATTTCTTTCTGTGGTAGACCAGTTGCCGTTCAAGGCTATAGAACCCGGTCTGTCCATAGATGGTGAGAGGAGAAGAAGATCCCCAAATGTAATGGATTCGATTGGAATTCGAACTCGGCTCACTGATTCCTCAAACCGAGCCGCTATCCATTACTCCACATATCCGCTATAAATACATATATAGATAGTCGAATGAAAAAACATCTATGGCCTGAAGACTGCGTTTGTTTGTATGTATGTATATTGAGGTAGCATATCTTCATTGAAACATGTTTCATTAAATAATATATACATATTGCGTCTACTTATTTTTATACTGATCCTTTATAGTTTAGCCAGTTTCTTGATTTTAAGATGAAATTCATCAAGGAAGGCGTCGTATTTTTTTTTTATACCCAAGTACACTCGACCTTTTCTAAGATACTTTTCAGGTGTAAATTACAAAGACATACTTATTGTAGCTACGATAAAATCTGCATTCCATTGTGATCGTGAGTTTTAGAAACACGCGTGAAATCGCTTTAGGTTTTTTTTTAAAATTTGTTATAGTTATTTTAAAAAAAAATCATAATTGTCCGTTGTAGTTATGGGATTTTTGCAAGCATTTCTGTATAAGGAAGCTGGCCGGAAATTTGTAGAAATATAAAATGGCGTTAAGCGTTATTTGCTCTTGAATCTGTTGTTTCTATGTTCTTAATAAATATACAGTGTAACCCGGATGTAAGAGAGTTGTCGGGACCGGAGAAGAAGTCTCTTATATCCGGGTTTCTCTTATATCCGGGTTTGGTCTATTTTATATACATTAACACAGGCTCTAATTTGGGACCAGAGAAAATATCTCTTATATCTGGGTTTCTCTTATATCCGGGTCTCTTATATCCGGGTTACACTGTATATACATATGGTATTTGATTTATAGTTTTAAATATCTATAATTATTCGTTTCAATACATTTAGAAATTCAGTGAAAATTGCTAATGAATAAAGAGTTCCACATTTCTGGACGGTATGTCTACGATCCTTCATGCATCAATAGGGTGTATCCATTGACCTGTCATTATTGGAGGCAGTTTAACATGATTTTACAGCATGGCGGCGGCAACAATGTCTTCAGGATGATGGACGTCGTGTGCTATTTGAGAATTAAGCTATCCATTCCCTTGTGGGAAAGAGAAATTAAAACTTATAAGTAACAGATAAAAAAACAAAACAAAACAAAAAACATTTGATAGAAAGAATAACTGACCTGGAAATAAGAAAGAAAGAAAGAAAGAAAGAAAGAAAGAAAGAAAGAAAGCATGCAAGAACTTTAACGTGGGACATACGTAGTAAAATAGTAAGAAAGAATAACTGACAAGAAAGAAAGAAAGAAAGAAAGAAAGAAAGAAAGAAAGAAAGAAAGAAAGAAAGAAAGAAAGAAATAACGTTAACATGGGAAGTGGAACGAAAAATGTAAAAGTAGGAAAACTGACCCGGAAAAAAGAAAAAAAGAAAGAAGGAAAGAATGTACTTTGACGTGAAAAGTAGAATACAAAATGGAAAAAAAGAACAAATGACCTGGAAATAAAAAAAAGAAGGAAAGAAAGAATAAAAGAAATTACGTTGACGTGAGATGCATAGGGCAAAATAGAAATAATAATTGACCCGAAAATAAGAAAGAAAGAAAGAAAGAAAGAAAGAAAGAAAGAATGAATGTACGTTGAGATGGGAAGTAGAACGCAAAATGGAAAGAAAGAAAAATTAAACTGAAAGAAAGAAAGAAAGAAAGAAAGAAAGAACCGAGGATTGATGAAAGCAGTGATCCATATTGAATAAAAAGGGAATGAAGATGCAGCAAGGTAAACATATAAGTATTTGAATAATAAAAAATAAATATCAAGGTGCAATAAAGGTGAAATCAGTCAAATATGAAAGGGGAATATATGATGAATTCAAAAAGAAGGAAAAGAACACAATCAATGGAACCGGGCAGGTCGACTTTGAATTCAAAAGAGTTTAAAAAAGTAGAAAGATATGAAGAAAAAAATGATAGTGTAATTGAGAAATATGTAATGTTTAAAAGAAGAATAAGTATAAAACGGAGAAGACAGTGCAAAACGAGGGAAAGAAGAGGAAAATATGGAGGAAGAGAAGGTGGAAGAGGAGGAAGAAGAAGAAGGAGAAGAAGAGAAATAAGAGGAAATGAGGAAGAAAAGGAAAAGGAAGGAAGAACTAAAGCGAGAAGCAGAAAGGATATGTCAAGAAGGAAATCCACGGACAGAAGAAGACAGGAAGGATGTAAAGAAAGAATAAGAAAATGGAGATGATGATGAAGAATAAAAAGAAGAAAAAGGGAAGGAAAAGAGAAAGTTCAGCAAGGAGGAAGAGGAAGAACCGGATGAAAGGAAGGCAGGAAGGAATTAAATAATAATAATAATAATAATAATAATAATAATAATAATAAGAAGAAGAAGAAGAAGAAGAAGAAGAAGAAGAAGAAGAAAAAGAAAAAGAAGGTAGGAATAATAAATAAAAAATAGACGATCGAAGAAAAAAGAAGAAGAAGAAGGAGAAGGTAAGATCAAGAAAAAGAAGAAAATAAAAAATAAAAAAGACGAAGAAGAAGAAAAAAAAAGAAGAAAAAGAAGTAAAACAACAACAACAAAGAAAAGTACAATAAAATTAAGAATGAGAATTGGAAGAAGAAGAAAAGGGCAATGTAAAGAAAAGGAAGAAATAATGGAGAAGGAGAAGAAAAAAAGGAAAAGATGAAGAAGAAGAATTAGATGAATACGGCAACAACAACAACTACAATGAAAAGCGGAATAAAAATAATAAGGGGACAATTGGAAAAAAGAAGAAAATGGAGAATCGTAAAGGTAAGGAAGAAATAAAAGAGAATAAGAAGAGAAATTTGAAAAAGGAGAAGACGAAAAAGAAGAGAGAAGTATGATAAGAAATAAATAAATCATGAAGTATAAAGGTGTCTAAAAATGAAGGAAACGTATCTATGTAAAAACAAAAAAATGGTTTGGCGCCAAATAACTGTCTGTAAGAGATAATGCGACTTGGCATCCGGGTTACACGTGGGTTGGTTGTGGCCGGCCGCTCCGATCTTCTGCTGTCAGGGAAATGCGCGATCGTGTCAAAGGACTTGACTTGCTTCGTGCGGAAAAACCCACAAGGCCGCCACGGACATGTCAGGACACTGAAACTTGTTTCGTTCTCGATGAACAAGTGTTTAACAATAGGATTCATTGTTCTTCATTCTACCCTAAACTTTTTTCCTTCTAACCCCCCAAAATTAGGTTCCTTTCCAAAAAGAATTCTGCTTACTTTTTCTCGTTGATAGTCTTTTATTTTTTTTTTTTTCGTATTTCCTAATCTTGCGATGTAAGTTTTTTTTTTCTGTCTTTTCTAAAAATATTGGTTCATTCGTTCCTTCTCCATTCTTTGCTGGCCATTTCTATTATTTCATTCGTCTTTTCATTTTTGTTCAGCCTTTTAGATTTCGTTGAGATATTATTGAAAATATTGATCAAGTTTGTAGTTAAAGGTTTCAATGAAAAATACACACATTCATTTTCTTGTTATTCAATAATTTCATTCCTAGCAGTTATCCTTCATTTTTCCTTCTTTTCTTTGTTCATTCATTTCTTTTTCATTCCTTTTCAATTTTCAAATGATTTACTTTTTCATTTAATATATATATATATATATATATATATATATATATATATATATATATATATATTCCTTTTCTTTTTCATTCGTACTTTCCTAAATTTCCTTCTACAATTTATTTTTCCTTTTTTCTTCACTTGCAATTTATTTCTTTTTTTTCTTCGACTATTTTTTTCTTTTCTACATACGTGCTTACTTCATTCTACCCCTTTATTATATTTTTCATTACATTTTTCGTTCGTGTTCTCCATATTTTATTTCTTCAATAATTTCTTCCTTTTATCATTTGTACTTTCGTTATTTTCCTTCTTTAAAATATTTTCTTTATTTATTCATTCATACTTCCATTATTTTCCTTCCTCAATATATTTTCTTCCACTTTTCATTCGTGCCTTACTTATTTTCTGTTTTTCATATATTTTCCTTTATTTCTATATTTGTGTTTTCTATATTTTTCTTCATCAATATAATTTCCTTCATTTTTTTATTTTCCTTCTTCAATGTATTTTCTTCACTTTTTCGTTCGTTTTTTTTTTCGTTCATTATTTTCCTGCTTCAACAATTTCTTTCTTTTCTTCGTGCATTTTATATTTTCCATCTTCAATATATTTTCCTTTTGTTCTTCGTTTGCATTTAATTTCCATCTTCAATTTATTTTGCTTTTTCCATTTTTACTTTCTAAATTTTCATTGTTCTTTGCCTCATTTTCTTATTCGGGCCTTTCTTATTTTTCGTTCTTGAAAATATTTTTCTCTTTTTGCTTCATTTTTACTTTCGATAGTTTCTGTCTTCAATATATTTTCCTCCATTTTCTTCATTCGTACCTTCTTTATTTTCTTTCTTCAATATATTTTCCTTCTTTTCTTCATTTAAATTTTATTTAATTTCCTTCTTCAATAGATTTTCTTTCTTTTCTTCATTTTTCTTTCCTTAATTTGACCTTTTTTCTTCAATTTTATTTATTTTTCTTCTTTTTTATTCTTTTCCTCACCCTTTATTTTTCTTCTTTAATATTCTTTTACTTCTTTATTTATTTGTATTTTCCTTCTTCAATAAGCAAGTTTCCTTGGCTGGAATGCCAATCAATGGAGCCTGTGCTTAAATCTGCAATAAAAGAATAGATTTAAATAATTTCTCTTTTATTTAAAAGAGAAATTTGTTTTCGCAACCAAAACAAAGGAGAGTAGTTTAGAACAAACAGATATTATTTGAAAGTTCATTTCACCCCAAGCAAGCTAATAAAGCTACTAAGGCGCTCGCGGATACTGAGTGTGGGATAGTTTGAAGAAAGACAACTTTATTAACGAGAGGGAACAATAAAAGAACAGGAATTAGGAGGACAGAACGTAACGATCGGCATTTCATTTAAATTTGTGTAGGTCAAAGTAGTCGAGAAAGCAAGAAGCCGGAAGTGAGTTCCACAAGCAAGAAGTGCGAGGGAAAAGTATTAGCATAGAAATTACGATTATATGTAGCCATTCAATTTGCTAAATGATGAGACCTAACCGCAAATCTAGTACTGCGCTTAAATTCATAAAGCCGAGGTACCATAAATGAAAGCTCATCAGAAAAATTACCATCATAGTACTTATAGAAAGAATACAGCGAATCTACGTCACGGCGATGGGAAAATGACTGAAGCCTTGATGCCAGGTTAGGACTAGTAACATTGCAGATTCTTCTTTAGATTTTTATCAAGAATCTATAAATACATTACAGAAGCACCAGACCAGATGTGGAAGCAATATTCAATGCACGGGCAATTGGTCGACTTAGGAATAAGAAAAATTGTCTACTAGAAAACAATGAACCAACTTTCCTAGCAGCAGACCTAGCAATTGATTCAATAGAATGTCTCCACTTCATGTCAACGGAAAAGGTTAGCCCGAGAAGAAGTTACTTTCCTGAAGGTTAGCATCAGCCGTGCTGATGGAAGTTAAATAGGTTCTCTCGGACGATTAAAATTCATGTTGGGAAAGAGGTAAAATAGAATGGAAGATCTTGACTATCAGTGTACAAGGTGAAAACATATCAACATTTAAATAGGTGGGCGCATCGGCCTATTTCGAGAGTACGTAAGGGTACATGAGAGTACGTGAGGGTACGCGAGGGTACGCAACAAAACATTTAATACATATCCATTGCCTATATCTAAGAGTTGCATAATTCTATATGGATGCGGTATACAATACTCTCTGTGACGAGAAATTAACATTTTCACAATGTTTTTTGTTATTGCTACTAATCAGTCAAGGGAAAACTGTGGTACTTTTAGTTTTTCAGAATGGCCCGCTTAAATTCATAAGGAAAATAACATTCCTTAAAATTTAATTTTGTTTCCTTCTCACTTGTTCACTCACACGTTCTCCTATATAACCACCTAAATTAGTAATGATTAAGTACAACGTTTCTTGAATTTTGTACATTTTCAGTTAAAATAACATTTCATCACTTTAAATTTAAACCAGTGGCAATTTTCACTATGGAAGATCATACGTGTAAACATATTTTGCTTTTGAAACTGGAAACATTCATAATATTTTTTTTCTCTGGATAAGAAATGTAATAAGAAAACAAATTCAAATGAATACATTAGAAATAAATTACGTGTTAATGACTCAGTTATCAGTGATAATATTAAAAGATCCATGTTTTTAATTCTAAAAAAATATTTTCTAAAAAAATACAAAAAAACAAACATTTTTCACTCAATTTCTATGATGTATGCTTACGCATATGGTAATTAACTACTACGAAAAATTAGACTGAATCTTTTTTAGATGGTGATGTGCCATAGTTCGGCCTACTGCTCGCAAAAGGTTTCACATGCCTGTGATAGATTGAGCTCTCTGTATCACGAATTTTATTAATCAATTACATTTTAGAAAAGTCAGTAGACTGGTTCAGTTTTCTATATGAATTAATTGCCAATTGTTCACATTACGGAAGCCAAAACACATATGCCCATTCGACATGATTTCTTTATATTTAATTTTTTTCGAAATTTGAATTCTGGAGTTCTTAAACGATAGTAATATATTAAAAAAAAACGATATTACAAATTTCTAAAGTTTTTAATATAAAAAGAAAGAAAAAACATTCTTTCTTTTTTGCCTGATCCCAAAGAACTGTACCAAATAATAGAAACCACATCACCTGAGATCTTTTAATAGCGGCAACAAC